CACACACACACACACACACACACACACACACACCAGCAGTACGTCCTGCACAGCGGGGCAGCTGCAGCCCTAACAGACCAAACTTCAGTCAAACAGACCCAATACTTTTATTCCTGATTTAAACAGTGATCATGTGAGCAGCTGCAGCTGTATGCTTTTATTTTTTCTGTCAGGCTGTCAGAGCTCCTCCTCCTCTGTCCGAGGCTGGTGTGGGGTGAGGCGGACAGCTCAGCCGAGGCTTGCTGGAGCTCCAGGTCCTGATCGGAGCCAACATGAGTCAGTCCCAGACTGAGCTGACTTGATCAAGTCTCTCTCTGCCTCTGGTGAGGAGGGGGGTGAAAATCCTCCACCTCAGACGTTCAGAGATGTAACTATCTGTGATACTGTGGTCACTCTCCATGTAGCATCAATTATGCTAATGCTAGCTGCCTGTCACGTTCTCTCGTCCTGGCCACACCTCCACTCTCTAACCCCTCCACCCCCCCACTTTGATGCATTTTTCAAATTTGGCCTTGGGGCGGAGTTATCTTTTCACAGGGGGGTAAGTTACACTTTAAAATAGTTTGTTAGAACAAGTTTGAAAAAGAATCTGAGACATTATTGAAGCTGTTAGATTAACAGCTGCCAGAGAAGATAAATCTGCAGAAGAAGGTTTTCTGATTCCTCCACCTGACAGACGACTCACAGCCGTGCAGGTGGATGCTAACGTTAGCATCCACCTGACAGACGACTCACAGCCGTGCAGGTGNGTCCAGAAGCAGGGCATCAGAGACTGGTCCAGAAGCAGGGCGTCAGAGACTGGTCCAGAAGCAGGGCGTCAGAGACTGGTCTAGAACCAGGGTGTTAGAGACTGGTCCAGAACAAGGGAGTCAGAGACTGGTCCAGAACTCCAGAACAAGGGAGTCAGAGACTGGTCCAGAACTCCAGAACAAGGGAGTCAGAGACTGGTCCAGAACTCCAGAACAAGGGTGTCAGAGTCTAGGTCCACTATGGGGGAGTTCAGAGGCTGGCCTAGAAGAAACTAGACCTAAAAGCATAGATCCAGGTCTGGTTCAGAGTCTTTTAGAGGTCTGATGTTTTTCTTTGTCTTCTCAGGAGCATCCTTCCTGGCTATCACCACTATCTACGCTGAGTCCGGTTCTGGGTTTGTGGTCCCAAGTGCATCAGCAAAGGCCGGAGTTGAGGCTCTTTATAAGTCCGTCTCTCAGACTGAACCCTGATCCACCTGACACTGGTCTGAATGTGACAGTCTTCTTGTTGTGTGTCAGGTCCCTGGCTGCAGAGTGGGGGCGCTATGGTCACAGGTTCAATATCATCCAGCCTGGACCAATCAAAACAAAGGTACCACCCACATGAGCAGGTTGTGGTTCCTCTGGACTTTGCTGTTATTTACTTGTTTGTTGTTGTCAGGGAGCTTTCAGCCGTCTGGACCCGACCGGAACCTTTGAGGAGAACATGATTGATCGCATCCCAACAGGTCGACTAGGAAAACCAGCAGAACTAGCAAACCTGGCAGCTTACCTGAGCAGTGACTACGCCACTTGGATATCTGGAGCCGTGAGTTTCCTCTGATCCTGGATCAGAGTTCTGCTTTGTCACGTGGCCCAGGTCTCAGTCAGGGGCACCAGCAGGGGGGGCCATGCCCCCCCTAAACATTTGTTGCCCCCCTAGTTTTATCATCTTGAGTGCGCAGGTTTTTCCTTTTTCAATTCCTCTAGCTATTTAGGAATAATAGAACCTCATAAATATAAAAACAAATGTTGTTTTGTAACAATTAAGAGTTAAAAACATGAATATCTGTTTTGTTTAATATAAAAAATAATAATCTAGTTCCTCTGAATAAGGACAACCAGTCTAAAGTTCTCATATAAAGATGGAGGTTCTCAGGAGGTTATATACATAGATATATTTTTAATTAAACTAGATAACTTCAGGGTTTGTGCTGTTGACTTCCGGCTAATGGCGGCATAGTGTAAGTCGTGTTTGAGTGTGCTCCCGC